GAATTCCTTTAGTAACACTGGGAATACCTTTATTCTACTTTGGAAACGTCTGTTGTACAAGGTCGTTCACCAAATTGTAAATGATTTATGCATAGCGGCTGTGACATATTCAACAAAGTGTCTATTTCAATAAGCCTATTCATCCTCACAAAACTCATATTTGGGATGTGGACAGGGTTCTCGTCCTGCGCGCAGCCACTTGCTCGCACAACAGTTTTCTAATACCGTAAACAAAGAAAACATATATATTAATGGGGGACTGAAGAAAATTTACGTACACAAAATGATGGTAATTTTAAAAAAAGACCATAGATCAAAATAAGACAATGTATTTTAGAAAACAACTACACACACACACACACACACACACACACACACACACACACACACACACACACACACACACACACATATATATATATATATATATATATATATATATATATATATATATATATATATATATATATATATATATATATATATATATATATATATATGTACAGTATTTACATATATAGTATTTACAATTTAATTTGAAAACAAAACAAAAAAAACTTTTATACAGTTTGTTTTTTTATAAATCTAACCAATTGTAGATGTGGTTTAAACTTGACACATCCTCCTGCAACTTTTATCATTCCAGAAGATAATATGAGGGATGTGAGAGTAGAAGTTGATATTTTATTTCTGATATTTGATTTCAACAAGTTTACCTTCGAGAATAACCTTTCTATAACATTAGATGTAGGTAAACTTAATATTTGTAGAGCAAATTCGGAAATGGTTTCGAACATGCGATGTCCTAGCTCATCCCGAAGGGTACCGATTGCTGTAAAAAATGTTTCCGGGTTTATAATATTCCTCATTTCGTCCGGAATTAGATTATGGTCTACTGCTCTCCATTCATTAACCAGATGTTGTGAATTAGTGGAGATCCTCGGAAAAGCAGTGACAAGGTCTCTCAGAGACGGCATTGACACTAGATCCTTCATCCAGAAAGTTTTGGGGACAAAAATGTGGCACATTTGAATTTGCTTGTTTGCAAGAGGGAACCTTTTTTTCATTTCTTAGCGAGCAATGATGAGAAATTGTTTGCAGGTGCTGAATACATTCTCTAGCAAATCTTGGTTGTGTCTGTATTCCTCTGATTGTATGAGGCAGTGCATTTCTGATCCAAGATACATCTGGTAAAATGGAAGATGATTTGAATCGTTCTCAATATCAATGGATGTTCTATCGTCTGCCTTATTTATTTCATTTCTCTTTATAAAGCATCACAACAAATCTGTGTAGAGTTCATGGCACTTTTTGTGTAGGACTTAGATGGTTGGTCCTTGCTGTTGGAAGAGTAGGTTGAGCTGGTTGAATTTAGGCAAAATTAAATTAAGGAAAGTATAATAGAGTTTTGTAGATGGTTCGTTCATTGTGTCCAATATGCTTATTGTTGCACAGAGTCTTTCCTCTGCCCTGATATTAAAGAAATACAGTTTGAGAGGCTCCCCCTGTTCCAGCCGTATGGTATGATGACCACCTTGTCTGGTACACATGTAGTAATTTGTGAGGTTTTACATCACAAAATCTTGAAATTCTTTGAATATATGAATTCTTTTGGCGCTATGGGAGAAATGGTTGTGTATATTCCTCACAAGATCTTCACATTTGCGAGGAAGACATTTGGCGGCTTGGGAGGAGCACAAGTGTACAGAATGGCAAATACATTTGAGTATGGTAATTCCACTACATTTGATATTAGTAGTTACAATTGGTGTCGATCTCTAGAACTCAAAGAGGAGCATGTTTCCATAGCTAAGTCTCAATAGCTTCTTGAAAATACAAACGTGGTGTGAAAATAGGCACATATTTTTCATCAAATTATTTGTAGAATAATTGATTCAAACCATAGGAAATCATTATTTATTGTGCAAATATCAACAAAGCCATTTACTATGAAAAAAACGTAAAATAAATTTTTGCGAACATTTTGCACGCATGAGTGCGTGTTGCGGTCTGCAAATCTGCGGGTGTTACTTCCCGCGCTTCAAATGTTCGCATAGCAGACGAAAATTGTATGCATCGGTAACAATGGATGTGGAGTATTGGCGTCTCTGAGGAAAGCATGTTGTTAGTCATCCAGTACATCTTGTTATCAAAAGCACATTATCTTGTACGGCTGATTGATTATTCTTTCTACACTTTGTATGATATTTTTGACACCTTATTTACGGTCTTTGAATGGCTTATTATATTTACGTCCAGTAACCAGACGCGCTTCGACCCAACTTTGACCTCAGCATGCTGATGTCAGCATATTAGTTCTCACACGCAGCTGAGTTAACTGAAAGGGGCGACCTGGCGCGAACCTGGGACCTTGCGATTGCAAAGCCAGCGTTGTGTCACTGAGTTTTATCTTCTCTACACGATATGGATAATTATAATTGTCCAGGAGAGATATAATACTACTGAAAATAGACGCGCTGTAAAGATTTGGTACAAAGTTAAATCAACTGTTTGGTGAGTTAAGCTCATCAATGTCTGAGGTTTGTTTTAACCTCTGAGGGTATGCATCAAATGCAGATGCAACACACCAGGGAATATTCTAAAGTTTCTAAATTCCTGAATACCAGCAACACATTTCACTGTGGGTATTTGAAGGTTGATATCTTTTACTTAAACATCCCTCATGGGATTGCAAATATCACTTTATCAATGTCTATTTTAGGTGACCTGTTATGACCTCTCTTCCGCTGACCATGAATGAATTGAAAGTTCCGTCCTCAAGCACTGATAATTCGTAAGGAAAACTATTGTCACAAATAAACTGATGTTCAATTTCACTTTTTGTTCCTCAGTGGCCCTCTGAGGCAGCAATGCACACGAGAGAGAAGATATGGACACGTTGATGCATTAGAGTCTGAAATGTGTAGTGGCATAAGAAGCGGTTAAGAGCTATGCTATTGTCTTCTATCTTACTGTCAATCTTTCTTCTGTGTGATCCTAAAGCTTGAATTCATAAACATTATTTAGTTTGCCTATACCAGTGAATTCGTTGACGTTTTATTCATCATTCCAACAATTTTCCCATGAGTACATCAGTAGTTCCATATACACCCTTCACTTTCATTAATGGTACTAATGAACTGATGGCGCTGCTGTATCATTAATGTCAATCAATATTACGGTAGTCTCTTAATAATGTTACTATTCAAATAATGGTAAAATGCTCGAATCATAAGTCATAATATCATATTTGACAGAAGCCTTAAGCATCAGGATTCTACAGGAAAATGCCGATTCCGCACAATCAAAAACAAGGCGAAAATATCCATGCAGAATCAGGGTACTTATTGAAATAATCTACTCATATATATCCCGAAAATATGCGGTAAAAATGCGATTGAAAAGTTGCAATGACGTTTTGAGAGGTTGTGTGTGTGTGTGTGTGTGTGTGTGTGTGTGTGTGTGTGTGTGTGTATGTGTATGTATGTATGTATGTATGTGTATGTATGTGTATGTATGTTGTATGTATGTATGTATGTATGTGTGTGTGTGTGTGTGTGTGTGTGTGTGTGTGTGTGTGTGGCCGAGTCTCCTGGCGGTCGGGCGAGGAGTGCAAGGTCAGTGACAAAGATAACGGACGTCATCTAGAATAGAGTTTGCTAGTCTTCGTCACAAGGGGAGGTGATTTTGATGACTGAGTTAGATATTAAGATATATTTTACTGCATTATTAGTAGTATGAATACACTATCATACTAATAATTATCTGAAACCATCGACGATTCAACTCGGCGGTGTAGGAAAACGGAAGAGAAAGATACTGCTGTGCTTGCAAGTTCATAGATGATGGGGAGTCATGATGGTTGTAATACATATATAATATATTTGAATTATAACGACAATATATGTGCACTTCGTTTCCAGGTTACACTCTAACATAAACACACATGTGTGTGTGCCTGTGTGTGCCTCTGTGTGTGTGTGTGTGTGTGTGTGTGTGTGTGTGTGTGTGTGTGTGTGTGTGTGTGTGTGTGTGTGTGTGTGTGTGTGTGTGTGTGTGTGTGTGTGTGTGTGTGTGTGTGTGTGTGTGTGTGTGTGTGTGTGTGTGTGTGTGTGTGTGTGTGTGTGCGCGCGCGCGCGCGCTCAATCACTATAGTCTGCCGTATAAATGTCTAGGATGTTAAAGTCAATGATGATGTCAAATGTTTCAGTCATTCGCATTCCAAGTAATGATTTCAAGCAGAACTGCCCTCAGCATGCAAAAAAAAAAAAAAAAAAAAAAAAACTGAAAAAAAGATTCTAAAAGAATTCCACCATAGATATACGTACATAACTTTACACGAATATACATACAATGTTTCTTTGTAAGTAATGTATTCAGATTCCATGTAGTTATAGAAAGATTCTCTTGTAAACTGCAATTACTGTATGGTATTGCTGACTTTCTATCTTTTAATTCTATTTTAGCTTTATCTTGACGCACTGACACCCCTGGTGTTATTAATTTCGTTTTTTCAGTGTGGCTCTATATACAGCTTATGATAATAATGATAATAATAATAATAACAACTGTCAGGTATTTTCTACGACAGAAGAAAATACGATCTTTGTCTTGTTTCCGCGAAGATCAGAAATGTCACATGAATGATTCTGGAAAAAGGAAAAGAAAATGGAAAATGAATAGAAAATGGATCAGACTCCCGCTAACATTTTGCAACGAGCTTCACGGTTGATTTGTCTTGTTGATATTTCATGGTTTTATTGATAATCCGGTAGAAATTGGGGTATTGTATCTTGTTCTCGGTGAGCAATATATGTCTGTATTGATTAGCAAATGAAAAACTAGTTTTGCTATCCATGGGTATAAAATGATGCAACAATACGTGTAATGCAAAACTGGAGAGAACTTGGATCAGTTTCTGGTGAAATTCGCCACGAGTTAGAAGTCAAACAAGAAAACGGGATATATTTTTTTTAAGATTTTATAACTTTTTCAACACCAGATTCATTTTAACAATTCCAGTATCAGTTACTGATATCTTTAATTTGCTAAAATCAAATAATGGAATGCTTATACTCCGTGTATCTAATACACTCATTCGACTGTTTCCTTCGATTACTTCATTATGCAAATAAGGAATGGCAATTGTTATCCGGTAAGTCTAGCAGTTATAAAACATGCTTAGCATAAAAAAAAAAAAAAATTTGGTTTCTCGATATTTATTTTCCCGTTTGTTATATTATCTGATGCAATAGGTTTTAGGAGCTTGATCAACTGAAAATAAATAAAACATGGCTACATATTGTGCATGATTATATGCAACCATTGAATTCATTAGTTTAAATAATAGAAACTTGAATAATGCATTTGGTGTTCCTATTCTTACTACAGTATTGCCATAATTGTTTTGATCGTGACTACAATAGTCATCACAAAGTAGTACTTGCCATTGCTGTCAAAGTAATCGAAACTCTCGTACTTGATTAAGACATAACCACCAAAGCCAACCTTACAATCACCCACTTTTATGTAAATATATCATGATAAAAGTGATGTTTGGTACAATTATAATAGTAAATAAGATTAGCCTACAAGCGGCTAACATTTGTTTATCAAGTTGAAATATTTCATAGGCTTAAAAGAAGCTCATAGATGACAAAAAGTGCTTTTAATTTCCGATGTCAAAGCCTCCTATTACATATTTTCCGACATTAAAACAAGTGCAAGATAGGCGCTGCGTAGTTGACAATTTGTGTATAGATTCTCGTTCATCTGGCAGGAAGAGTGGGAGACGCTGTGGTGCCGGTATTCAGTATTTAGATACATTTACTTCATACGTGTTGGTAGCGCAAAATCAGAGTATATATATATTGTTTCAACTGGATTTGCAAGACTTTTTTCTTGTTTTTTCTTGTCTTGCTTTAAGTGGTAACTTTGAAGGAGTTCTGTTTTCATGTTAATGTAACAATAGTCACCAACACTGTACTTTATCTCTTCAGGTGTACATTTCCATCAGTGCAGTACGATGTACTGAACTCTATAGCGGTTTAAATTCAATAGTTGTCGCGGTTATGCATCCAAAATCGCTTATCAGTATATGTATAGACAATATAGTCAGTGCCACCATTATATATTCCCTAAGTCATCCACCAGAGGTAAGTTCTTTAGCAATGAAAACCACCTCTAAATTTTCCTCGCTAAATTTAGCATTGTGACAAATGGGTAAATGTTTTTGGTTATACATTGTGGGGGTCAGGACAATATGTTAATGGATAAGGTAGTGCTCTGCTAGTCTTTGACATTACAAAAACAAACTATGCTCAGACGAAAACAAATTGCTTGTTTTCTAGTTTGTGACAGATGTTTAGGGCCACTGATCCAAACTCAAGGAGAAGTTTAAAGAATACAGAAAAAAATGCATTCGTGATGGACAGTCTAGTGCTGAAAAGATAAGTTACCCCTAACGTGGTGTTATAGAAAACTTCGTTTTCTTTGGAAGTTTCATATATTCCCAGGGTGATCTTAATAGTATACAATCATATTTCTACGTGTTATTTTTATTGATATACACTTCAGAGAATTCGGTTAAATAAAACATGCTTGAGAATAATATTCCACACACCAAATTAATTTAATTCTCAGATGCTTTGACTATGCATAGGTATCATCGACAAGATTGTTTTAACGAATTTTCAACGCATTACTCAATGGTTGTTTTCTTGAAATGTGTTATATCGAGAAAACCTATCCCAGCCTTTTCTTTTCAGTATGGTTGCTGAAATTTATTTACAACAATAAGGGAAAATACGAATGGGAAAATAGGTTATGAATTGCTGAAGATGAATCCTACCAATACAAGAAAACAATTTTTAAGTTTTGAAGTTCAGTTTTTAAATTTTGCCTATTGATTATACTGTGTGAGTATGAGGAATGGAAAGGAACAGACAGGAACAGACGGACAAAACAATCAGCCTAGATAGCTTTGTTATTTTCAAGACTAATAATTTCTGGCCACATATGTATACCCACTGTTTATAGAAAGTGAAAGCATGTAATTATTCCAGTTATTTATCGTATGGGAAATATATGCTTACAAAGGCAATATGAAAGCATGAAAGATAATTTCTCTCTTTCTCTTTGTGTACGGTTGCGCGAAAATGAACAAGAGCGCTGCAATGTATTCTATGTGTCAGTTTGCAATAATGTAGTTAGGTGCAATACATTAGTAACTCAAATCCATCCATCCTTCCTTCCTTCCTTCCTTCCCCGCCAGATAACATGGCCGGGTGTGAGTCAACTGTGGGCGACACTTTGGCGTCTTCCTCTGCAGATTCCTCTTCGAGCAAGTCGCCTCCTCCACGCGCACCTCACCCACGACCTTTGTGAAGCGACTTTGCCCCTGATGACCCTTTTGGCGGCTGAGGCGAGGAAGGTTTCACTCTGCCCAACTGACAGACGACTCGCATCTGCTCGCTTTTCCGACAAGATGTTGAAATTCATAAGACTGGAGTCTCAACATGAGCTCCGCGATCTCGACATTACTGGTGTGGATCTCGGTTTAGATACGAGCCTGCTGGAGAGTCTGCTGCCACGGTGCCCTAACCTCTGTGCCCTCAAGCTCGGCGGCAACACGTCTCCAGGTGTTCTCCGGGCTGCTAGAGCTTGCCCCATCCAAGTTCTTCACGTGAGCGAACGACTCGTCTGGAACCCACGAGTTACGGAAAAGGACCTCGTGGAAATATTCTTCGGGGTGACCGATGTTCAAGCGGATCAAATGCTGCAAAATATCAAAGACGCAAAGCCACTTAACTTGAATCTCTCGTGGCCACTTTTAAAAGATCTTTGTACTGGCTTCTGTAGAGCAAGGTGCGAGTTTTTATTTTTAGTGCTGACTATTTTTCAGAATCTGGACAAAATTTCAAGCAAGTCAATACCTTCACAGAGAGTTCTAGACATGTATTTAAACTACATGCATAGTTCACCAGATACTCCTAAGCTTAAGCTCAAAAGCTGCACGGTGGTATCGGGGGAGTTTGTAAGAGTGGCCGTTGCTGTCCCCGACTTAGAGGAACTTACGTTGATTTCTCGAGGGGGATGTGACCATTCCACGGCCGAGGACTTGAAGGTGCTGAGAACTCTTCCATCGTTTAAAGTCCTGCGGCTGCGCGATCTGCGACACTTTGGCCAAGGTGACCTTTCCATAGTACTTGACAGCTTGAAATTGATTGGTCCAAAGTTAGTCGAGTTAGAACTTCAAGGTGGAAAGGTCGGCGAGGCATGTGTAGGGTACCTGTCACTGGTTCTTCAAACGTGCCCAAATCTTCGGAAACTATGTCTAGATTCAAACTCTGGTTTCTCATCCACTCGTTCTGAACCGCTGAAAGTCGGCTGCTTAAGACACCTCAAAACATTTACGTGTAAAGCTCCTCTTATCAGTCACACGACGTTAATTTCTGTGATTCACTGGTCTCCAAATTTGGAAAACCTGACTCTTGCTGGCAGAGTAAATGGCATTGAAGAAGTCTTCAAGAACTTGGTGCTCTTGCCAGAGCTCAGGGTTCTGAAGATAACGGTAAAACAACAGTTGCCAATCCAAGATATCTGCGAAGTTCCACGATCAATACAACATAGCGATTGTGAATTCCATGTACCCTCCGCATGCCTTACAGAAGTGGACATCTCAAAAATTCAGTTTTCTGGTTGGACCTTTGTTCCAACAACTCTTGGTAAATATAATTCTGTTTGATAAACAGATTAGGTATTTTTAGACATAAAAGTAAAAGAATAAATAAATAAACAAGATACTTTTGATATTGAAAAATAAAAAAAATACCAATCTATCTATCAACTTACCTACATGCTATAGGTTGCTTGTATTTAAAACCCAATTAATTTTTGAATAATGATAAATCGAAGCTTTATATCATGGGGAAATCAAAGGTCGTATTTATAATATAAATTGTATTAAACAACGACTGGAGTAAATACAAAGAATACTGATAACACGTTTCATTTGGTTTGATATTTGAGTTGTCAAACAAAATGCAACATATGAACAACTGAGCAACAATAACTCGGTATTCTATTCTATTTTCCGGGGAGTATTACTTGTTTAAAATAAAATGACTGACTAATCACCGAGATATCAGTACAATGTTTATTTTGCCCAGTAGTTTCTGAAAATAAAACGTATAAACAACGAACTGGGTTTTGGTACATGTCTAGCATTAGCAACAAGCATTTCTTTTCCATAGAATCATTTTTAGTGTTTAATTTTGATACTTGTAATCACTACTTGCTTAATCACAAACTTGTACATTATTTGTAGATATGCAAAAGATATATATATATAATTACTCACAGATAAACACTGACTGGATTTATTTTTTTCATGACGGGCAATATATTTTACAGCAATTCGAAATATAAGACATTTGTTCATTAAAATTTCTTTGGCAATCTTGGGAGTGTCATTAATTACTGTTTTTAATATTACTGTATAATTTGGATGACCAACCATGAAAACCAGAAAGTGGACAACATTACATTAACCAACTTTACAATACGTTGCATGATCAGTTATAATATATATTTTTGCGTCTATACGTATCAGTAATACAATTTCCTTTAAAATATATATTCAACAATTACTATAATTCATATAGCTCTCTACTACACAACAATTACTATAACTTAATTTTTTATACATATACATCTAGATGGTCCACATTCAGTGATAAAACTATCCACAGATTTATGTGATAAGAATCAGTTATGAAATGAGAAAACAGAGTAACAGAGCTTAGAATAAAGTGAACAGTGTAAGCAGTAATTCCTCATCACGATATAAAATTCTATAAACGGAGAATAAAATAGGAAGATCAAAAATACATAAAATAAGTCAAGAGATCCTAACTCCAACGGGTATTATACATCTTAATGCAGCATCAAGACGGTGATGCACAGGAGACTAAGCAGCAGGCAGGAAGCAGATGACCGGAGGCCCGAACTGTAGTCGACGTCCCCCTCTGTGGAAGACGAAGAGGTGAAGCTCTTGGGCGTGGATGTTATTCCACTGTTTATTAGCAATCAAAACATTGAAATCAATCTCAAATTAGAAAGCAGTTAGTACAAAAACTAGATGATATTAACTCATTTTGCTAGAAATGTCTATATAAACTGCACTAATCAGCAGAATTTAATTTATGATTTCAATCAATTTTATTCGAGATGTTATATAAACGGGTTAACCAGCACAATCTAATCTGACTATTTCGTTCTGCTAGAAACAGTTACACAAGTGCGTAAACTAGCAGAATCTTATATTTTATTTTGCTGGAAACATCTAGACTATGAACGTTCCCAACCTTATTACGATTTCATCTAATTCAACTGTAAACATCTACAGATATGGAATAACCACCACTATCCCGTTTATGATTCGATCTTATTTTGATGGAGATATCTACATAAACAGTTTGAACTAGCAGTTTTATTCATGATTTCATAAAATACAATCTAGCACAAAATTCTATCCAAAGATAAATCCAAATATATCAGTAAACTACATGAATCGAATGAACCTTTTACATAAATCCGCAAGTGTTTAGATGGATTAATGAATGGGTGGGAGGAGTGGGTACCTGTGGATGTTCACTTATATTCACTTAGACTTTACCTTTCTCCTCTACGGCCACTCGATTTACTTCCTGATTTGCTTCAACTTTTGTTTCGATTTCCTTGACAATCTGAAAAATAGAAATACAAAAACATCGTCTATATTTAACCTTTATTTTCATTCTGACTGAAATGACCTTAAATTTCGTTATGAAAATCGACACCCAAAATGCTCTTTCCCTAGTACCCCTCTTCAAGACGCAGACATACTGTATTTACAACAAAACATTTTAGAAAAAAAGTAATGGCAAAAATAATAAACTACTGAAACAGCTTCGTCAGTTACCTTTTCCTCCAACCTGACAGTCCCTTGTATATCCTCCAACAGATCTTCCTCGCGCGCCAGCTTGGAAGTCACGGGGCTGGTGGTGGTGGTCGAGGTGGTGGTCGAGGTGGTGGGGAGGTCGGGACCGAGCAGCGCCACCAGCTGTCTCTCACTCGTCGCCATCATCTCGTCAAGTTTCTCGTAGTACGGGCAAGCCTGAGAACATGAAAACCCTGAGTGTATCTGCGAAAAGGCTTTTGCTATTGTTGACAAGATCATATCTACTTAATGATAAAAAAAAACGAGGGAGGATTGCCGATATATTTCTATTAGCGGGAAACTACTTACTGCTCCTTGAACGATGGGGAACATTTTCTTGGGATCGACGCCCATGCTGGTGAACTTCTTATGGCACTTGGCAATCGTGCTGGGCGGCAGCGTGGTCGTGCGGCCGAACACCCAGGCAAACTCTGCCCTGAATCCGAAGTACTCGAGGCACGAGTAAACGCAGGAGTAAGTACGATAGTCAGTTGCAATGATCTGTTGGTAGATGCTGTATGGTAATGCTTGCGGTCAGGTTTAAGACAAAAAAATTATAAATAAAACACAGTTGGTAAAAATGATCTGAAATTACTCAATAAGAGGAAAAAATGGGAAATGAATAGGGATAAATCTCTAAATCAATAATCACAAATGCTGAAAATCAGGTGATTTACATATAAACGGATCCTTCGAGGTCCAACGACGATTAGACTACATGTATTTTTTACACGATGGAAAATATTTTGAGATAATGAAGCTAATTACACAGAGGAACTGACCTGGTACGGCGCTGCGGGCACTCCCGCGGCGTCGACGGTCATGTACGCCGGGTCAGGCTTCTCCACATCATACTCCTCGACGTGCATGACGGCCCCCTGGCGGACCTTCTCGTCCTCGTCGGTCAACCCCCGGGTCGCCACATTCATGTACTCCCCTGTGAAATGCAGGAACCTAAGACTCGTGCAGACTTCAAGGAACTTAATCACAGTGAACGACTCGCTAAAAACGAAATCAGGATTCACCAAGCCTTTTCCCGCCTCGTGCACGCGTCCAGGAAGCACCGGCAATAAATCTAATCGGGGATTAGCGGATTGGAGAGGACTCGCGCACGAGGCCGAAGCCCCACCTACGGCCTCGCTGCCTCTGATATGCGCTCTCCGATAACTCGCAAGAGCGCAAGGCTTATTGTACTCCCTCGCCGATAAGCAAATCAATAAATACTACTTCCTAGTCATTATTAATGCTACAGACATTTGGGCTGACAAAATAAACTGTAAATACGACAAAAAGTGTGGGCAAAAGCGCTGTGGCAAGAAATTGTAAAAGCAATAACATGTTATGAAAAGGTTACTTTCGCAAGAGAAGTGTCAATCTGGCTGCCCGCGAGACACGTGGCCCTTGAAGAGCAAAAGAATGCGATGATTTATAGAAACAAAAAATAAACGGATAACTCCATAAAACTTGTTTTATGATCAACAGTAGAATGGCAGTAATGAAATACAGTAAGTATACTATAAGTAAAAGTATAATATGAGGGAGAGGGAGAGGGAAAGGAAGGCAGAGGGAGAAAGAAAGGAGAAAAGGGATGGAGAGGCAGAGGGAGAGAGAGAAAGGGATGGAGAGGCAGAGGGAGAGAGAGAAAAGGGATGGAGAGGCAGAGGGAGAGAAAGGGATGGAGAGGCAGAGGGAGAGAGAGAAAGGGATGGAGAGGAAGAGAGACAGAGAGAAAGGGATGGAAGAGAGAGACAGAGAGAAAGGGATGGGGAGGAAGAGAGAGACAGAGAGAAAGGGATGGGGAGGAAGAGAGAGACAGAGAGAAAGGGATGGGGAGGAAGAGAGAGACAGAGAGAAAGGGATGGGGGGAAGAGAGAGAGAGAGAGAGAGAGAGAAGGGATGGGAGGAGAGAGAGAGAGAGAGAGAAAGGGATGGGAGGAAAGAGAGAGAGAGAGAGAAAGGGATGGGGAGGAAGAGAGAGAGAGAGAAAGGGATGGGGAGGAAGAGAGAGAGGAGAGAGAAAGGGATGGGGAGGAAGAGAGAGAGAGAGAGAGAAAGGGATGGGGAGGAGAGAGAGAGAGAGAGAAAGGGATGAGGAAGGGAGAGAGAGAGAGAGAGAGAAAGGGATGGGGAGGAGAGAGAGAGAGAGAGAGAAAGGGATGGGGAGGAAGAGAGAAGAGAGAAAGGGATGATAGAGAACAGAGAGAAAGGGGGGAGGAAGAGAGACAGAGAGAAAGGAGAGAGAGACAGAGAGAAAGGGATGGGGAGGAAGAGAGACAGAGAGAAAGGGATGGGAGGAGGAGAGGACAGAGAGAAAGGGAGAGGAGAGAGGACAGAGAGAAAGGGATGGGAGGAGAGAGAGAGAGAAAGGGATGGGAGGAAGAGAGAGAGAGAAGAAAGGGAGGAGAGACAGAAAGGAGGAGAGGAAGAGAGACAGAAGGGAGGGAGAGGAAGAGAGAGAGAGAAAGGGAGGGAGAGGAAGAGAGACAGAGAGAAAGGGAGGGAGAGGAAGAGAGACAGAGAGAAAGGGATGGAGAGGAAGAGAGACAGAGGAAGCGGTGAAGGGAGGACGAAGAGAAAGAAAGAAAGAAAGAAAGAAATAATATCTTACAGAATGAGAACCTTACTAAGAGACACGAATCAACGAAAGCTTTTCCATCAAAATATTTTCTGAGAAAAAACTGTACGAGAATATTGTACAAATAACCTGCCCTGTTACCTACCGGTCCAGGTGTAGTTCTGAGTGACGCATTTCTTGGTATGCTGGTACTGGTTGGGAACGCTCTCGATGTCGAACCAAAGGCCTGAATACTGCAATGAAAGAGCGACGGGTATTTAGTCGTGACGTCTGAGGTCTGTAAAAGAAAAATAAATGTACGAGGTATGATTTATATGGAATAAACAGAATAATATTATATACATTTCTTTTCCCTCCCTCCCTCCCTCCCTCCGTTCCTATGTGCGTGTGCGTGTGCGTGCGTGCGTGCGTGTGTATCCACGTGTCTGCATTAGCTCTGTTTTGTCCATATTCATCCATATTCACGTCTCTGCCCCTGCCTACCAGCTCAAGTGAGAATCCGGCAAGTCGCTTACGAACCCAAATTAGAAGCTACAAATTCTCTCTCGGGCGAACACGAAACGCGATAAGCGAACCCCACGCCCGCGGTGACCGAAATCGAATCAGCAAATGACGTATGCAAAGCGACGGAGGCAATTCGATATCGAGTGATATTCGTCTCCAACACGCCCTCGCGAAGCAAAGGGATGGAGAAAGGCTGAAGAAAGGGAAGGACCGTGGTTGCGAAAGAGAAGGCGTGCGAAGAGATAAGAGAAAGGAGAATGCGTAGGCGTAGAATGGAGGAGAAAAGGAAGTTATTCGAAAGCACGACAGGAGGGGGAGGCGGAAGGGAGGGAACAGCAGAGAAAACGAGATGAGGGGATTACATATTAATTTTAGTTATGAAGTATAGATATATATGTAAATATATATATATATATCACACACACACACACGCACACGTACGTTTGCGTGCGTGCGTGCGAGAGAGAGAGAGAGAGAGAGAGAGAGAGAGAGAGAGAGAGAGGAGAGAGGAGAGAGAGAAGAGAGAGAGAGGAAAGAAAGGGAGGGAGGAGGAGGGAGGGAGGAGGAGGAAGAAGAGGAAGAGGAAGAAGAAAAGGAAGAGGAAGAGGTGGAGGATGATAAAGAGAAAGAAAAAGAAAAAAGAAAGAAAAAGAGAAAGGAAAATAAAGAGAAAAACATCTCCCAGAACGAGACCCGTTTCCTCGAATGTCTAGCACAACACAGACCAGAAAACCGCCACAAGAGAGCAGCTGCTGTCGCTAGGCCGGCGAGAGGACGAACAAAGAAAAACAGTCGAGCACAATTCGATAGGGATAATCTCCTCCATCGATGAAAAAAAGACGCTAATCCTATTAAGTCGAGTTAAGGAGTTCATATAACAAAGGAACCTCATGACCCCTTCTGCAGCCCTACTGAACTCCTCTACATTTACTTCTTGCTGCGAAAAAAAACGGACGAATCCTGACTATTTGAGGAGTTGAGAGATTTAAAGACGTGATTCGCGATGAGGATAAAAACGATTCAAAAGTTCATTAGCCTGCTTATGCAATGACCTTCTGCAAGATCGTCTGCAAAGTGATCAAGGCCAAAGCCCAGTCCATACATGACATGCACTACAGGCACTTTTTTTTTTTCTTTCTTTTTTTGTCAATAAGACTTTTCAAAATCCCAATGACGATTATATTAATACGTTGAATCTTTGGGGCGGATTGGTCGATCCTTTGGGGCGGATTGGTCGATTCTTTGGGGCGGATTGACACAAAAACCTTTCCTTTAGAAAAAAAAAAAACGAAATTGGTCGAACGAATTTCGAAGATTTGGGACGGATTGGTCGATTCTTTGGGGCGGATTGGTCGATTCTTTGGGGCGGATTGGTCGATTCTTTGGGGCGGATTGGTCGATTCTTTGGGGCGGATTGGTCGATTCTTCGGTCTGACCGATTCTTCTGCTGATTCTTGACAAGGTTTACACGCACACAAACGCCCAGTGTATCCTCGCCTCCCTTCGCTCGCTCGCGGCGGTCAGCCCAGGCCTCCATCTCGACAGATCAGCTACACGCGAGTACCCCATTGATGGCTAATTCCGGGCATCAGGAGAGAGATCCTCGAGCGCCGCCCCTCTGGAGTCGGGTGTCGCCGTGGGTCCGCTCCTGAGGCGGCGGCGGCGGCGGCGGCGGCGGCTCGCTCTCCCTTCCTCTCCTCATGCGGGGAAGCCTCGAGGAGCAACGGTCTCCTGTGTAGGCCTACGCGATATTTTTCTTTTTCTTTTTCTTTTGTATTCGAGACGTTCTTTTGGAGCAATCTGCTGGATCGTCATGCATTTCCTTATTGTAATGATGGGGGTAATTGTCGTAATATTTGTAATTATCGAATAGTTTTAATACGTGTTCTTTGCATCAGATTATGTACGAACAGCCCAGAATAGATTGCGACCGGAAAACGTCCAATGCTTTATAATCCCGTTAACATTGCCTCCGGTTGATAATATAATCGCCCGTCGTCAATCTGCCAGTTATCATGTCAGTGCGTCATCCCTCCTTTCTATTATCAATTCATGAGCATTACCGCGGCATTTTGCGACTGTCAAGCCTGTCTTTGTACTATTTCCTAACTGATGCAGTTCACAGCTATAAGCCGATATTTTGTTTCGAAAAAAACAGCGATACAGATTTCGAGACTTTTCGAGGATTTGTCTCCTTTATAATGGAAGATTTCTCAAGTACAAAGGATGGCCGATTCTTAAGCTTTTATCGCCGGCTCTCGCGGTACCGGGGTCAGGTTGCGGCAACAAGAAGCCTGATCTGCATTCCCTTTCATTCCTCGCAAAGACTGAGCAACACAACACCATTTCGAGGTTTGGCTGAGTAACCGAAACCATAGATGTGTTTCCTTTTTACATATTATACTGATAATTGCCAATCAATGAGACATGATAATCAATGATGTGTTGCATGATCATCAACAATCTCTTACGCAGAGTATGATCATCTGTCACTTGTTTATGGCACGATCTGCAATCCCTCTTGTATGGCATGATCAGTCGAAGGTAAAAACGTAGACAATAACAGACACGGAGGCTGCGGGACGGACTTTTGCAATACACTAGTTCTCTGACTTGTACAAGAGTGTATACGTAAGTCTTAAATCATACCTGCATGAATATGCTCACCACAATGACGCATCGCCGTCTTTAACTCATCACGCGATATCAGTGTCGTCGTGGAATTTTCAGCGATCACCAAATTTTACATGATAGTAGACTACTTTTTATCTTTTAGCGCCGAAACAAGACTTTCAGAACCCACCCGTACTCTCTACTTCCACTTCAGAAGCAATCGTACCCTCTTTAACTCTGCCCGCCACTATATGAATTCTCTCCACCATAACAAATTCTCGCCACCATAACAGCCTTACTCTCGTCGGCCGGGCACCCCAGTAACGACCGCATTAAATTCGTTTCGTTTGAATTCATTCAAACTAATAAACTGCCATCGCAAGAAACTAAATTGGTTTCATATTAGCCTGCAGTCCAGTGTGTGCCGTGACTGCCGTTCACCGTGCTCAGCAGCCTCCACTATGGTGGAACATTCCTCCTCCTGTTTAGCCTAATATTTGCCTGGTAGCTTTCTCGTCAGCGTCTACTTCCCCCGACGCCCTCCCTCTCCACCTACCCGTCCAGCCCAAGCCTACCTTCGCGAGTGGTTGCCATAGCAAGCCACAAATCACGCTCGGCATCTGTCTTGATTATCAAATTAGCTCGGGTTCGTCACAAGCTCGCCCTTGGTGGTAGCATCCTGTTGGCGTCGCTAGGTTAGGCGCACTGCCCTCTGTGATGTTCTCGCTGTACCAGGCATAGTAGGTTCTTTTCATATTTACTAGATAGCGCCTTCACATGCATTGAAACAATACGAAGAAACGACGATAATTATTTTATATGATGTCATGAAACACGAAGCAATATCTGTTCTAACTATTAGGCTTGCTAACAAAAAGCTCTGGCTATTTACAACTGCCAGAAAGCCTTCCACGCAGACTAAACAAGTACAGATTCATGTTGATTCGTTTAATGGATACGTTACCACTCGACTCGTTTCCCAACGCAGACTTTGCATGATGAAAATACAGGATTCATACAAAGGGAAATGTATGAAAATAATGTAGATAATAGCAATTGAAACCCCATCGTTCTGAATGAAATAATGCGTGAGAAATCGAATTTCTTTTATTCCCATTACGAGTATCAACCATGAAATCTCGTCAGTCTTTTGTTGCGTTGTGAGGTTGTGATTACTGTAATCCACATCCATCGCAACAATGCCATGTCCGGGTGGAACAATTGTGGAATAAAAGATAAAAGTCAGGAATGATGGCACCGGTACCCCCTCCCCCACCCCACCCCACACCATCCCCACCCACGCTCACATATAGACTTCCATATCCATTCATTTATTTCTTCCTCTGGCAGTCTTTCTTTCTCTTTCCCTTCCTTTAGTATTTGTTCGCGTCTCCCTTCTTTGTGATTAAACAACATACCTTAAATAAACAACTGACGGATTTACGTTTTGCTCTTTTAGTTGTAATCGTACGTATGTTTGCATCTGATTAAAAATGGGAAATAACATTTCTTAGTTAAAGACAATCGCAACGTTTTCCTCACAAAAAATAATGACTAAGCACATATCCCTGTCAAGGTGTCAGCGATCTGGACCGCCGTATCCTGTGTTAAAAGAGGCAAGGCGGCTGACCATGCACGCTTTGATGCTGCTATGTCAATTTACCATTATTGCTGTTGACAATACGCAAGTGATTATTGTTACGGATACAAGCAAAAGCATTGTTCGTGTCAGCTGCCGACGTCCGTTTTTAGTGGTTTGTTTGTTTGTTTCTACGTCCCTTAACTAAACCCAAAAATAAACAGTGCCATCGATCCGGGGTTTAGCCAAGCATGTAAGACTTCTCAGAATAATATCCGGTTTATGTAACGGAGACTCTGCCACTTCAGGTATGACGAAGCTTGGAGACTCGCGCGGAAAAATTAATATCGAAATTAGGCTCAAGGCCAAGATGGAGTAAGAGGTCTCAGTAAACGAGATTCCTATGGATTACAGGAACATTGACCACGCGACGTAACAAGGGAAACAAGACACCGTAGCCGATCCTTTCAGGTGGATTTCGTGTGCTTTTTTCCATTCAGGACGAAGTTTATGCGTTTGTCGAGCTTCATTTTCCTTTGTATTCGTAGAGATGCACTGTATCCTTGGAACAGATTTTGCTTCTAACCATCCATAATG